GTGGTGGGCTTGCCGGGATCCATTGCCTTCCAAGGCGTGCGAAATAAGTTCGCCTTGTAGACGCTGCCTGTCTGGGACATGGGGATGCGAGACAGCGTTTTCCACGCAAGGCATGCCTGGAAGGCAGCATGTGTCGTGCTCGCAGTGGGTTGCTGGGAGTCCGCTGTTATGGATGGATCCAACAACAGAAGCATGTTCTCGACATGGCAAGCAAAGTTCGCAAGGCACTGTAGGCGCTGTGCCGCCGTCGTCAGCGGGGTCCGCCAAGCGTCGCAAAACGCGATAAAGCCCGTCCAGGGCCGCTGAGACTGTGTGCTGGTGTATGGTGAGTTGTTTAACACATTTGCACAGGCTTTCAAATTGGGATGGGTGTTGACGTATCTCCACTGCCATCAGGGGCTGGAGGGGGACGTGGTCCAACTCCATGCATAAAACCATCGCAGGTCCTCTTTGAAAAGGGAGGTTTGGGCCTGATCCACCTTCAGTGCTGCCCACACCTCGTCTGGTCCCGCCTTCACTAGCTGGTTGAGGTATGACAATCGTGTCAGGCGCAGCCACGTGTGAGGATCGGGGAATTGCAACGTGGAAAAGCAGGCCTGCGCCGTGAGGAATGCCGACGACACTGCGGTACAATCCCGGAATGACTCCCGAGTAGGCGCGAAAGTCGCGCTTTGTCAAAGCAGGTCTGTCGTTGCAAGCAACATGGCCTTTCTATGGAGAGCGATGGCCTTTGCTTTGGACACCTTGCGCTTCGCCTCAGCGAAGGTGGAGCGAGCTTGGGCTGCTCTGTACCGTATCTCCTCCAGCAGCGTCTCCGTTTGGGGACTGAAAAACACCGAGGCGTTTGTATTTTGGGGTAGGGGAAGAGCCATAGCTGGCAGATGCTCGAGTAGAATGGGTGTTTTGTGTTCCCCAAAGGATAATCGAAAACCGAAGGCGTAGAACACCTGGGTTCATGCGGTGGCGTCAGCTTTGATGGCAAGCTCCACTTCCGCTGGATGTGCACAACTGTTTGGGGTGGCCAAGTCGTCGGCCTAAATAACTTCGCTCAGTTCCAAGAGCTGTGCTTCAGGAGACGGCTCGAGATTACGGCGCCCATCCCATGGCAGCACAGGCTTGCCTGATGGACACCCCAAGATATCATCTCGCCTGCGCAAGATTTTAGGCATCAGAATAGCAAAGAGGATATCAGCGTTGGAACTGCCCGGTCTGGTTCCTCTGGCCTTCTGCACAGGAATACCATCATTGACAAGAAGGAGCCAGTTTTGGCTGCTCAGGTGGGCCGCCATGAATGTGTTCCAGCCAGGAGATGCGACAGGGCAGACGGTTCGCTGAGCATTTGCTGTATCTCATGTTTCACTTCGGGTGGGCACGTAAGCCCGTCGAGGGCTCTGGAAATCTCTAGGTGCTCGCCCCGGGCTCCCGGTTTGGCATACATACATACATACATACATTTTGGCACTCGCACTCGAGCAACTCATACATACGTACATACATACACATATACATACACAAATCTATCTATCTATCTATCTATATATATCTATATATATATACACACATAAACATATATACATCTGTGTACATACGCCTGTCCGTCTTTCAGTCTGTCCGACTGTCCCCGTGTCGGTCTGTCGCTCTGTCTTTCTGTATCGCTGTCTTCCTTCCCAAGGCTTGAGGGCGAGCCCCCGCCAGGGCTGCCCGTGCGGTTGGAGGTTTGCACGGTTTTACGTGCGACTATTGTTCGTGCTCTCCGCAGGCTGAGCATGTTAGTTTGAGACCCGCCCCGAATCAACAGACTCATGCGACCCCCGTAAAGTAGACTAACAGTCTCTGCTCGTGCCTTGCTGCTCGCCAACACTCGGCGGGTGTTCCACTGAGGGGCGATCTGTGCTGCCCCGACTACGTATTGGGGCTGGTTGTTGCAGCGGCGGAGGCGGCTCTGGGCTACAAGAGCGGGCTTCACACCAACGACATCCAGGGCATGGCTACTACAAGCTAGACTGTGCCTATGATCTGTTGCTGGGCCTCGTGCTCTTCGGGAACTGGCGGGTGGCCTCGCCCCGTGGAAAGCAACAACGGGTTGGTAAGTAGACATGTTACAATTCTTGGGGCTCTGTTCCCCTGAAAGGTCAAAGTGCAGCACAGCCGAAGTTACATGGCAAAGGTCCTAAAAATCACACGGCACTGTCCTTGTAGGCACTTCGACAAGCGAGTTTCCTACCGCCCTGCAAAAGCCTGAAACACGAACGTTCTCGACTACGATGTGGACCACAGTACGCAGGGCTCTAGCGAGTTTCCTACCGCCCCGCAAAAGCCTGAAACACAAACGCGATGTGGGTCACAGTACGCAGGGCTCTACTACGGTTCGCTGTCTCTAAGCACCAGTCCCGGAGTCCCGGGTGCTCCCTCGTGCGCGTTCGCACCCCCGCGGATCATTGGCGAGGTGTCCTCTCCCATTGGAGGATTTTCCCCCTGCTGGGCTCGGTTTTACAGGACTCCTTCGCTCAAGGCCTAGACCGGTATCGCTGTCTTCACTTCACTTCACTGGGGTCAGGCTCCAGGAGCCCGCGCCTAGGCGCCCCCATTCCCCCATTGTATCGCTGTCTCTCTATCTCTGTCTGTCTCCGTCTGTCGGTCTGTCCGTCTGCTGTCTGTCGGTCTGTCCGCCTCTCTGTCTCTCTCTGTCTGTCCGTCTGTTTGCTTGCTTGCTAAGGGGTGTAGGGGCTGCACACAACCCCTTGCCCGAAGGCCTACCCCCACGCTGAGCACCAGATCCACGGTCAGCTCAGCCTCTTCCGGGGGGACGGTGTATACGTTCGCCCGAGTGTGCTTGTTACGATATGCCCAAAACCCTGCCCAGAAACGATGATGAGGCTAAAGACTAACCAGGCTGCACGGCCCCGTGTAGCGGAGGCTTTGGGTGGTAGAGCCAGTGTTCAACTTCGCGGCTTGGTCCTATGTTTCGGAGGGAAGGTTCGGGCTGCCTGCTCGGTTAGTGTGCCCCAAGTGCCGCCTTCCCATGGGTCATCGTCCGGGTTGTAGGGCCTGGAATACCGCGGTCTTCCAAGATCCCAGGTGGGATAGCCCTGTCTCATCGTCGTGGTTGCAATCGAGTTGGTCCGCGGGGCTGCTGAAGCGGCACTGCTGTTGCGCTCTCTATCTCTCTCTTGCTTGCTTGCTTGCTGGCAGGGCGTGTGGGGTGCGAGGACGAACCCTGCTACCCCTGCGCACGAGCGCTACGCCTTGGTTTGCGTCTGGTGTGAAACTTGCGTTGACGTGCTTGCAAGGTTGGTCCCCGGAAACACTCAGAACAACATCCTACTAACGCTCATGTCAACACGCTGTCCCCCTGCCTTGCCCAGCACGTCTGTGTTTGTGTTCCCTTTTGTGGGTATTCCACATGGGGATCCGTCCGGGCACCCCGCGAAGTCGTGATATTCAGCAGGTAAGAAAGTGTACAGTTAGACTCCGTTACTCGGCAGTGTTGTCCTGGGGTGGCCCCGAGACTTGTGGCGCTACTCCGGATTACTGCTGGTTTGGTGGAGTCCTATGTGAGCGTTGTTGCCAGTGCGGGTCCCTGGGTCAGGAAGCAACAGGGTAGGGTAAGTGACATAAGGGAACATAACAAACCGTGGGTCCCCGCACTGGAGGTGGTGGTGATGCTGTGGTGGGGCTCCGGCGTGGTCGGGGCTATCTCTCTCTCTCTCTCTCTCTCTCTTTCTTTCCCAAGCCTTGAGGGCGTGCCCCCGTGGGAGCAGCCCGTTCGGTTGGAGGTGTGCACGGTTTTACGTGCGAAAAAGGTTCGAGCACTCCGCAGGATGAGCTTACATCTCTCTCTCTCTCTCTCTTCTTTCCTTCCTTCTTTCCATCGCGGCAAGGTCTGCGAACATACCCGCGCCGAGGCACCCCCAGTCCTCCTTTTCGGTGGAATAGGGCTTTGGGCGCGCGGACGTGTTTCGTGCCTAACGGTTGGCGCGTGTGATGGTCGTGAAATCCCCGTTTCACTGAACACTAGCCCGCATCCCGGCCTCGTCCCCGCGCCCTCTATGGCAAATCCTAAGCCCCTCGACAGATGTCTTCCCCCTGTGTCTTAGCCTGCAGTTTGCAGCTTCCCCCTTCTCACAGAGGAAGAACAACAAGTGCATGCGGGACGGCATGGCTTCAGGCACTCTGTCCACTGAGCTTGCGGTATGTGGAGTCTGCTGCAGGGGTGTACGCGCCTGTGTTGGAAGCAACTCTCTCTCTGTCTCCCTCTCGCAGTCAGCCGCATCGCAGACCCGAGAAGCTTCCGGAAAACGCATGCCTTCGCAGCGCATGGAGATGGCCTCGGCCAAAAGGCCGGCAAAACACAGCAGACCAGCTGCAAGGAGCCACCATGGCATCGAGGAGAAACATCAAGAGGCTGAATCGTAAAATGCGTGCTACCTCGTTCGATGCTGGAATCCAGCACTGCTTCAGTTTGAGAGCTTCGTGATCTAGTATAATCGCCATGCTGCTGCAGGTGCTACTTGGTTAAACATGCTTGGGCGACACTGTCGCGTGCTCGCGTGTGCACAGGAGGATCAGACTTTCCGCATTCGGTCAATCTCGGAGAGTCCCCGTGCTCAATCCCAATTGGAAACAGCTCACCGGCTAGCGATTCGCACGCAGGAATCCAGGACTGACTGGCGACCACATACACTTCTCGAAGCATGCAAGCCACATACCCGGAGCCTTCAACCCACTTACTCCCACCCCCCTAACCCCTCTTAGAAACCATGACCAGACCTGACCACTCTCTCGATGCAGGAGGTTGTTCAAGACTTGCCCGGGGGTCCGTTTCTAGCAGGGACTGACAGCCACCCCACCCTCCCAAGCAAACTTTGCACCCCTGAAACCCGGAAGCAGTATCGTACTTACTTTATCAAGGGTTTCGTTGAACTTACCGTAACCTAACGATTGTGAAAAGACGGTGAAAGTATGTAATGAACACCACCCAACCTTTTGATGCAAGAGTCCTCGTGCAGCGCGTGCTTCCTCCTTCACCCAACACGATGCGCTTGAACACCACTCTGGAGTTCGGCAGGACACGTCAATGTAGCAAGCAGCCTCTTCAGGCGACCTTCGAATACCCAATCCAGCCCCCGAATCATACCATGCTCTACCCCATGAGCCTTTCAAGACGAGCCGCTTATTCAACAGTTTGTGGTCTTCGTACTTTTGCTATGGCTGTCCTCCGTCATCTGTAGCTTGACCGTCAAGGTGGCAGTCTTCAGCTCCCTTGGCACTTCGGTGTTACGTGTCTTTATCAGCGCGCGTTACAGAAGCAGCATCAATACTCCCTGATAGCTGCTTACAATTTGTGTCTGCTCTTTGACCAAGCATCGCATCGTTTAGTTCCTCGGCTCTTGCCACGGCATTAGATGCCTAGCACTTCTGAGATTCTCAAGATTTCTCAACACTCCGCAAGCGCCTGTTGGGCATTGCAAGTCACGCACACATTCAACAATGCCAAGGGGTGGACCAAAAGTCTACGACTACACTTCCGTAATCTTCCCCAGTCGCAGACACGAAAGAGTAATCTCATCTTGCAGCTGCATGCAAGTGAAGCTCCTTCGATTGACCCTCTGTGCTCGTCTTCACCTCGCGACTTGCTGGCGGGGTGAACACTGTGAGACAGCAGAAGGGCGTCACAAATCAAAGGCTTGCAGCATCTTGCGCGTGCCTGCAGCAGCTCCGCGCTTCGCTGTTGCAGCTCGAAGCGCAAAGCTTCCCGCTCCTGGCACAGCAGCTGAGAGGATGAGGACAAGGCATCGAACGTCAGATTTCTGCTTTTTCGCTGCTCCCCCAATGCAGACCCATGACGCTTCACAGCCTACGAGTACCATGTCCTACTTGAGCAGACCGCCTGCTCCACCTGTACCCAGGCCGGCCTCACGCACATGGCTTGACCGAGGCTGAAAAACTTCCGGGCATCTTGCAAACATGGCCACCTCCTCGAGTGCATCATTTCCCTACTCTCGGGAACGCCAGGTGGTGGGACCCAACACACCCGCAGGCTTGGAAAAACTTGGAGTGCCGGATGTTGGTGATGTCGATGATTGCCGACGAGGTGCCTCACATTCTCACGGATGGACGTCAGCACTTTGCCTTAGCCGGCTGATGACGCATGGAAAAAACCAGCCCGGTGATTGCATCAGATTTAATGGATACTTCATGTCAATGTCGGAACTGCCGACATGTTGCCAATAGCAAGGTTGGGCATCAGCAGCTTGGAAAGTAATGGCTGCCCACTCACGGGCGAGTTTGGCAGAGGAGCCGCCCCAGACTTTGAAGCATGTTGCATAAACCAGTCCTAGCTGCTAGCTGCAGTGCGGCAAAGACACGACGCAAGACACGACTTCTGACAATCCAGCTGCAGCAGCGCGGTAGCTTAGCACAAAGTGTATGCAGTCCTGAATGCATCGGCGGCAGAATGTATGACCTCGAGACGTGCTTGAATGCGGCAAGCACTAGGGTGGTGCAAAGTCCAGGTCACAAGTCTAAGACTGGGACCATCGATTGTCATGACGGGGTCCTGGACAGGACGTCTCAGTCACAGAAACCGACTTCACGGTTCGTTCAAGACAGTCGTCCTCGAAAGTCTTGTGACAGAGCGGGCAGTACAAGCCACTGACTGACCTAAGAAACATCGTTTGAATGTGGGCTCCCACGAGCATCGGCTTGGGATGGGGAAAGCCAAGAGTCGGCAGTGGCAAAGGCAGCAGCTCCTCCGCGACGGATGCAGAAGGGTGGTGTGGGCGGTGTATGGCCTCCGCAGGCCCGGGGCAGGCACGGGCGCCAAGGATCCGGGGAGCGAGCCAAAGCTCTGGCCTCGGCCTCGAGCTGTGCAGAAGCCGGGAAGTCCATGCACTCCGGACGCTCGCGAAACCTCGAGCCAACAACTCTGGAGCTGTAAAAATGAACTGCTGCCGCGAATATCGATCGCACGGGGGCGCAGTTAGCCAAACGGTGTCCTTACATGGCAACCTTATGAACAAAACAATATCTTAAACATAGAGCCGGGCATCGAACGGGCAGCGACGACGGAAGGAGCTGGGAGCACGGCGTTGAGAATGTGGCCCTCGGCCTCACAACTTATCGCCGCTTAGCCAAGGAGTGGCAAGCGAACTCAGCGTGCTGTCCTCCTGCGCCGGTTTCTCTGCAAAGGCGGGCAGCGGCATCTCGCCATGGCTACTGCAGCCATGGCAAAGACAGGGAGCTGCCTTCGATTGCCAACCAAATCATGAACAAGCTAGACACACGTCGACTTGTGAGTCTGCAGGCAGTTACACGTATCTGGCTGGGTTGGCTACTGCAGCCGGCGAGGTCAGCTGCTGTGAAAAGACTCCATCCTAAAACCGAAATCTCGTGTCGTCCGTCCGAACTTTTCGTGCTGATATCGGGTAGCCTAGTCGGTCCGGGCTCTGAGCTGACCGTCCTGCAGGACGAACACGGTCAAATAAGCTATCTTCGCGCTGACATACGACGCAAAGAGAGGCACAGGCACACTTCAGCCACGGGAAAACATACACTCGTTGCTGTGATCCCGGGCTTTCTGGCACACCTTAGAGCTTCGGAGTCCATGCACATCACTCCATGCAGCAATCCTTCCTGGGGCATTCAGAGGTACTGGCTTAGTCAGAAGACATGCGTTGTTGTCCGGCTATTTTGAGCAACGCCGAGGTTGTCCGCTGCCAGTTGTCCCAACTTGTCCCTCCTGCTCTGCAAGATGTTGCACGATACCTTCTTCGAGTCAAGTCGCCACTCTCGGTCCCGCAAGTATGCATCACGTTCCTTGTTTCAGCAGTTCAGCAGAAGGACAGGGGCGGGTGCCACGGACATGATGCAACCGCAAAAAGAAGAGTCGATTCCACATGGATGTTCGTGGCGTGTCGTGATTCGGGGGTTGGCCACCGCAAAACGTGAAAAGTGTATACATAATAGTTATCTGGGTGGCGGAATACTTTCCGTCAGCCACCGTCGGGTGACCGGCTCCCACGAAGTGTTGCCGAAGCTCCCCTCGTCTACTCTTTGTGACCTGCGTGGGCAGGTGAATTGGAGGACCGACAAGTTGTCCGGACAGGCTGTCCATACTCTCCCTCGCAGCTCTTTTTGCCACATCAGCTTCCTCTCAGCGCTTCTAGGCGACGCCTCGATGCAGCAACATGCGGAGCCCCGCTTCTGAGCAGAATCAAGTCGGCGCATGACGCGAACCGCGAAACGACGCATCGCAAGTCCGAAAGTCAAGTGGCTGCCAGCAGTGAATGCAAACTTTGGCTTCACCGCACTGCGCCACTTCCAAATCCAAAGCCAGGCCCTGGCGTCAGGTGTTGCTTTCGTTTGCTTCTGAGTCCGGCCTTTGTAACCTTGAAACGGTACTTTGGCTTTGGCTCCCTCTACAGTACCCTCGGCCGCTTGTGTTTCTCCAAGAATCTCGGCCTTGCAGCCGGTGGCACAGCGTTGCGGGGAGGTCGCCAGACGCGGCAGTCGAGATGCAGAGGGCACTGCAGGCAGGGGCTGCGCCTTCTCGGACAGTCTCGTGACCAAATCATAGAATCAAGGCTGCACCAGCACCACATGCATTCGTCAGTAGTAGGCATGGCTTGCCCGATCGGCAAGGCCGTTGCACTGATTATACCGGGGCCTCCACTCCCGAGCTGTAGCTGGCCTGCCTGGCAGGAGTCTGAGCTGCAGACTCAGATGTACGACAATCCCTGTTGCTTGGGAGCCACTCCAGAACTTGGCTTGTCCAACTCAACCTGTCAACTATACATAAGCCGAGCTCGACGTCCCTACAGGATCATGCTGTCTCCGACAGGCACCCGACCCTGCCTCAAGGCGCGGCCGCACAGGGCCTCGTCCCAGGAGCCGATTTTCAATGACGGATCCAGGGCAGCCTGGGATGAGCATGGAAAACCGGCACTTGAGCTTGGCAAGACTGAGGCTCTGTGCTTGTCTATTCTAGAAATAGCAAGCGCCAGTCGCTGGCGGCCACGAACCTGGCTGACTCCTGCCGCAGCTGTAGAGTATACTCCAGGATGTAGTTCCAGTTTGCTGGCGTAACACGCAGCCGGAACATGTAACCGCTGCTTTGCGACCGCCTTTGAGAACTCTACCTACTCGTGACTTGTGACTATGCCTACGCTGCCTATGCCACTTAGTCAGCATCGGCCCGTCTGAAGCCGTGGTGCGAACAGAAGCTGCACAATGAGTTTCCTCAAGGCTGAGTCCAAGTCCCAGAACAAGACAAGGCGAAAGCACGCAGAACGCACGAATCGCAAACTAAGGAACTCCCCCCTCGAAGGGCAGAGGCCACCAAAATGCCTCAGTGACAGGCTCACAAAACAAGGCCGATGACAGCAGCGACAAGGAGAGAGGCAACATGACACAGTTTGCCACTCCGCGGAGCCAAGGCACATGGTGTCATCGTTCGGCACTCCGTAGGCTGAGCCAGCAAAGCCACCGAATCGCGAAGCCTTAAAGTTTTTTTATGCCACATGAGATCTCGGGAGCGATCTTCACCGCTTGCGAACAGGTGGCGCCAGGTGTCGTGCTGCAGAAAACCAGAACACGGCCTGCACGTGGCATAATGCCTCAAAGCACATTGCAAGCGAAACTGCTGTCGCACACAAGATGCCCCATTCCATGCCGAGGCACTGCGCTGTAGATTTGGGAAGCAGGTGTTTCCACCGGAACTGCTGAGGTAAACCAGCATCGTCACATCGCCTTGCGCAAGCAAGAACTGTCTTTCAACAATTGCGCAGTCAGGTATCCTAACAGAAATGACGTACTTGCAAACGAGGCACTGGTGTCAATGTGAGGTACTTGAGACTCATCTTGCTCATAGCGCACAACCTGCTTATCCGAAACGTTCTTTGGAAAGCCCCTTCGACTTAGCATGACTTAGCTTTCATCTTGGAATGATGCTTGCAATCGTCTTTCGCTCTGAAACTGTGAATGCCAATGAAGGCTGTTATGTATAGGCTGCATATTGGTACAAGTTGCACTTCCCGTGAGCATTGCTTGCCGATGTTGATGCTGGCTCTGCTTTGTCCGTCTAGTCTTATATTGTCTTTGTTGTCGTGGCTGCTGTGTTCGGTGTGTCATGTGAGTCGTTGGCATGAATGAGTTGGCAAGCCAAGTTTCACGCCCTGACCATGACACATGATGTTGAAGGACTTGTCTCTCATGCGGCTCACGCACCGGCCGGTCAAAGCTAGTGCATCAAGCTGCTGTGGTGTCCCGCAGAATCCTCGGCATCACAGTTCCCAGGCGAGGATTGATAGGGATGTCGGCTCCATGCAATCTGTTTGCAGACTTGGTCTCCATTTCGGAAGATTGTCACCGGCCTGGACAGGTCGTGACTCCACAAAGGGAAGTCCCTCCACCGGAGCACCTGCATTCTGCGAGAGAAGGACAGGACCGTGTGCCCAATCGACGACTAGGCAAGGCCAGCACTAGAACTGCAACTGCGGAGATAGAACGCATGTGCACCACTCAAGCCGTCCGAAAGGAGCTGCTTTGTGCATGTCGGGGCACCGAGCACATCCAGGACAAGGGGCGACAACTCCGCGAGCATGGCCTTCATGCGCTATGCATGCATAAACAGCCAAAGCTCTCCAACCTGCCCAAGAACTGGCTCCTCCGGAACCCGCCACCGTGCCGCGGACTTCGTGAAGCCACTCCGCCGCAGGTCCTCCTGGGATGAAGGTTTCGCAGTTTTGATTTGATGGTTGAAGCAGGGTGAGCATCAGGCATCATCATGCGGGCTTTGAGTGACAGACCGCTCCGCCGGCTACACGCAGATACGCCGCATACGGCCGAACAATCAAACACACATATCGCATGTACTGGATCGCTGCTCTTGCTACCGTGATGCCGGGTCCCACTGCGTGCACCAAGCTTGACGAGAAACCGAAGCAAGAGCGATGTCCTCAGCAAAGGCCAAGCGATCATCATGCTTTTCGGCGTCTCTAGCAACTTCGGTCATGCGTCCTTTGCTAAGTCTGCTAGGTATGGCCGCTTCGTGCTAGATTCGATTTGCTAGATTGAATCTGCGTAGCGAGTCGATAATCGGCACAACTGCGGCCTCGAAGCCCAGGCACCCTCCGGGAGGAGCTCCTTCCTCCGCACGGCCAGCCAAAGGAAAGAACGCAGTGGGTCGGAGCGATACCTGGGCCGTGCACCCGAGTAGCACAAACTGATACATCGATCCACAGGTGAACAGCAAGGATGCGAGTTGGAATTCTGGCTGCAATGCGAAAGGCTGGCGCGGGACAAACTGGAGCGCGCCAGCATACATCATGTAAACCAAGAGCTGAGCGTCCTCCCTGCAAGGCATGCTGTAAGAACTCGGACCACGGGTGCCAGATGATGGCTCATGCTGCTATAGGCCCTGCCAGGCCTTGCAGCCCGCCGTTGGTCAAACATGTCGTCTACATAGGCGTCCTCGGCTTGGGAAGGTAAGGTGCTGGCTGCTGGCTGTGCCACTTCATAGGTGTGGAAGCCAGTGGATGCAGTGTTTGAAGAAGTTACCTGCAGGCTTCCACTTCGTCCAAGAAATTTTTGTGATGCCGACTGCGCAAAGCTGTCTGCCCAGGTCTCTCGGACTCAACTCTTAAAAGAAAGCATGAGCTGTGCTGTACAGGCCTCGCGAATTAGGCTGACTCTGCTTTGTGCTAGAACTGCCAGAAGTGCTTATGACTGCTTCTGAGCTTTGCGGCGCTGCTTCAGCTCCTTCTTACGCCGGATCTTCTCACCTGGGAGGCAAAGATGGCAAAACTGACAGTCGTAGCCACTGTCGCAGCCACCCTTGTACACGAAGGCGCAGGGCTTGCAGCCACCAAGGTAATGGCCCGCAGAGCCACGCGTTGGCAGCTCTGCAGGACTGATGGCACGCTCTCCGAGCCCGACTACGGGGACTGGGACGGCGCCGGCTGCGGCGCGACCTTCTCCTGCATCTGTGTCAGCAGTGCTGGCAGCACTGCTATGGAGCACGTCTGGCTCTGAACGGCTGTCCGCCTCACGCTCAAACGGCTCGATCACCATGGGTTGCAAAGTCTTGGAGCCTTCGAGGCATTCGAGGCCCGGAGGCAAAGGCACACTTGCCGGGCCACTCCTGTTCGGAGGTTGCTGCAGCTGTGCGCTCATCTTCAGGGTCTCTCCAGGGCAATAGTTGCAACCGTCAGGTTGAACTCTGGCTCCAGCACGTGCTGGAGCCAAAGAGTAGGTGCCGCCTACGCTGGCAATGGTCATCGGGCTGGCGTACTCAACGTTGCTGGCATAGGCGTACATGACAAGCAATCTTTGTGCAGGGAGGAGTCGGAAGCTCGTGCCAACAAGTCTGCAGCGCATGATTGCTTCGGGCTTCATCATGTTTCAGTGACTGGTCGATGCATGTCGCTGTCAAGTTGCTTAAGCCAAGATTCCGTCTTCCTCAGCAGGTCCATATCTTGTGCTTCCAACAACTGCTTGAGCTGACGAGTCTTTGCTCCATCACACAAGCCGTCAACTACCCAAATCACCGGGTTCTCCGAGACCTTAGAGGCGCAGCCGGCACGGCCGGGACGGGGCCAGGGAAGCCGACACGTGAAGACCCTGCGGCACCCAAATGCCGTCATTGACGAGCTGCCACGTCGACATTGACTCTCGCAGAAAGACCACGGCACCGACTAATCGGATGCACTGGAAACCTCGGAAGGACTCTTGTCCACGCTCATTTTTCCCTCTCGCAGTCCATGCTCATTAGAGGCAGAGGTCACCCGGCATGCGGCGAGGAATCTAAAACTGCCTGAACCGATTTCATGAAGCTGAGAGTAGCCCTTTCTTATACGCTGGAAACCGCAGAAGAGATCTGCCCTGGCTTGCAGGCCGGTTGCCGTGGACGATGTCTTTTAGCGACTGCTGTCCAAACTGCCGCAAGGCACATCCAGGTGCAGGAACCTAGGCTGCCCACTTCAAGTCTACCCCAATCCATAGCGGCAAATGGCCGGTGCAAATGCCACCGGCTGCCACAGCGCATGCTGCTACGAGTCCAGCAGCTCAAGTATTTACCGCGGCAGCACCTACAGCAATGCATCCCACAAGTGGTGCCAAGACACTCCGTACACGATGCGATGCTGGCGCCAACGGCAGTCTCCTGGTCACGAGACTGACAGGTCGATGTCGATTCACAGCAGCCTTTCTGTGCCGAGGGTTAGGGAAAGAGCAAGCATAGCCCAGACAGGGCCACAAACGCTACATGAAAGCCTGCAGCAACGACGAACTTGGCAGGGATGTCGCCGGCAAGACGCTTGCGTCTGTCTTTGACATCGTACGTGCCATTCAGATGAGAACATACGCACAAAAAGGCTGGATGCTACAAGTAACATGAGGTCTGAGTGATGTGTCCATCCTGGTATTTGTGACGCGCTTGCCTGGCATTTCTTGGATGTGGAATGATTTGGGGCTGATCCGGCCGCGTGGAGCGAACACCGGCTGACTGCACTGTTGCTCCACCAGGAAGCCTTAGTCGACTATCCTGGGCTGCATGAGCAAAATTAACGGAGTGGGGCAATGGATTCGACGGCAGCTATTCGTGGCGCTGCATGCCAGCAAGTCAGCCCAAAACGCGTTTGTTGCCCGCCTGAGACATGCTCCACTGCCGTGGGTCGGCACCATCTCTACAAGTACAGCATATCACTGTCTGCAACGGAATCACAGAAGCTTGGTGCAAACCTCCAGGCAGTGGAAATGCCGAGTCTCTGGTCTTTATCCGCCGTGTTTGCGGGGTGCTATGTGCCAAGTTGCAACATAGCACCAGAAACCTACCAGCCACCTTCCGACTGCCCTACCCTCACTCAGCCTTGGTGCTCGTGTCGTCCCACCTCTTACAACGTGAAGGCAGCTCTCAACGGACTGTACAAGCTGTGAGACCTAACGAGTCAAAGGGTGAAAGAGTTGTAGGACTTGCTGCAGCCTGGCCCTTAATCACAAGACTAGACCACCTGTAGCAGGGACAGTGAGTCTTTGCGAACTGTGATGCATTTTTGATTCCGACATTTGCGATTGAATCGCGAGTCAGGCTGGGTACCGAAACATTATCAGACTCTGGCGGGAGTCGCGGTGAGCGGCTCCACACCACCTCAGTCCTGTAGCAAACGAAAGGAACGAGAGAGACAGAGACTGCGGTGACTAATTATCGCCTTGCAACGCCAGCCCGCCTCTAAGCCTCTAAGCGTCGGCCGCTGCGGTCTCAGCCTCTGCGGCCTTCTTGGCGTCCTGTCGTCGCAGAAACGGATCAGACTTTGCACGTTCTTGTTGCTCTTTGCACAGCAGAAATCCTGCGCTACCGCTGCGGGACCTCTTTTCAAACTTCCACTTGTCGCCTTTATGCCCTATGCCGTTCCTTCAGAATAGCTTGAGCATATTCAGTGCCGGGGGGAGCTTTGCTAGCCCCGACACTGCAATAAGATAAATGATTTGAGAGCACAGGTGTCGCTTTGCGCAGAAGAAGGCTCTCGAATCACGCTCAATACTGCAAAGTTCGCAACTTCCCTGAACCATCGAAAAATCTGAACCCTCCAGACTAACCCAGAGTTGCTAGCTTAACTCTGATACTGAATCCTGCCATTGGGTTCTCCTCTCAGGCATCGAAGAATACTGATGCAACTTTGCAGTCACTGCATCGAGCGGACTCTGCTCCTGTAGACGGGCTGGCCAGCCGAAAGAAAAAGGTGAAGGCTTCGCCACACACTAGCCGGCTCGATTCACAAAGTCCGCTCCTAGATGCGGACAAGATATGGTGTTCTTAGGTCGGAAGAGGTCGAAGCTGGACTTTTTGGCCCAAAGAAGCTCCGCCTCGTTGTGTGCGATCATGTCATCCTTCAAGCGACTGTCAAACTCGTCCCGAGTGTCCACATGGAGCTCTTTGTACTGCTTGGTTTTTTGATCAACAAAACCTGTTTGAACTATCCGCTGATAGTGCTTCACGTTCTCGAACTTGCCCAGATAGAAGTGCTGCTTGGTCGAAGCCGGCCCCCGGTAGCCATAATCCAGCTTTTCCTGGCCGCCTGCTGTCACTCCGCCATCTAGCAAATGCGTCCAGAACTTATAGTGCGTATCAGTGCTACAGAACTTTAGGTCATGTGGAAGCTTGGACTGCATGTCCCTATCCTGCTTCTCATAGAAATCCTTTTTCTTCTGCTTGTTCCAGCGCCCCCGGCCACCCACGTCCGTCAGCCACACGCGGTGGAAGACGTTCTGCCCTTCAGGGGTCTCCTTCTTGCCTGGGCAAGAGCTGTGCGACCAGGGCTTGGGATGTGGATGCGCGACCATTGAAAGCTCGCGCTTGTTGAGACTCCATGAACGGTGGAATGGCCTCTCCTGGACGGTGGCGTTGCCATGCACTTTCGTCAAAGGCCTAGGGTTGGAAGCCAAGGTGGCATGCTTGGGCGAAGTTTCGGGCGAGAAGTCCGGACGCAGCATTACACGGGGCCGCATTTCGGATCGACACCCCTGTGGCCCTTCTGCAACAGTCGAAAGCGTGCTCATAAGCATGGCGGCAAGGGTATTCACGCCTTCTGACGGATCAAGCTGGAAAGTCTCTTGGGCAATAAGCTTGCTCCAGAAGGCAGAGGTCGCGGACGTGCAGATGTCTACTTCTTAGTGCTGTAGCATTGCTGCGACAGAGCCCACAACGGACACGGTACCTTGCCTGAGCTGCCTTGAGCTTGATCTTTTCCGCTCGTGTCTGAACGTACTTGTGCATGTCGGCAACACCTGATGGACTTCCCCTCCGACAGTGAAAAGTTACTGGCGTTCAAAGCCGTGACTTCGGCACGCCTTCCAACACGTCTGTCAACTGCCTCGTACATCTACATCTACATCCAAGAACCTGCCTTGCAAGCTGCGATCGAGAACATGACGGTCTGCCGGCTTAAGAGCTTACAAACTGCTTACAATGAGCTCCTTACACTTGCTGCAGTTGTTCACACATGCTGACTGCTCGCAGGGGCGCCATCGTCATAGTCAATCTTCTGTGCCTGGCCCATCTAGACGGACAGGAGCAACACTCCGGCAAGCACAAAATCGCTGAACATTCTTACAGGACACGCTCAAATCAAAGCCCGAAAGCAGCCTGGGCAAAATCGGCTGCGCTCGCCTGGCAGAGCTGGAAGGGTGGGCTGGAACGAACACTCTATAGACTCCAAAGTACATCTCGTTAAATCCAGAAACGCATCACGACAACACAAAGCCTACCTACAGTGGAAGAGCGTGGCAAGTGAAGACTTTGCCTGGACTCACCGCGTAAGAAACTGGAAGCTTGTACTTTGCTTACACATCCCGCTCACAGCATCGCCCGGGTGCTGAACCACCTCTGAGCGACAGCCCCGTCACGAGCTAGCATGCCACAGCCGCCAAAAGCAAACCGCCCGAGCTCTCCGAGAGCTGCCTCGTACTCGCCAAGGAAGCGCCTGGCCTTCGCTCGAGCCCGGAAAGCCTCAGGATGGCGCGAGGCCGCAAGGTTCCTAGGCACTAGGCCGGTGTTGGACTCGTTGCCTTACTCCAGCAGTAGCTGATACAAATGAGCCTTTTGACCTCCACAGCCCTGGCACAGTCCCTGGCTGAGCTCTCGAGAAGTTTTCATCGCCGAGAATCTTTAGCACTGTCAGGATTGAGCTCCAACGCCAGCGATGCATCAGCGACCACAGCTTTGTATCGCTTCTGTTTCCTGAAAGCTTGGTGGAAGACACAAGCGCTGGCACCAGAAGAAGAACACAGAACGTACACCAAGCGTGCCCTGCACGTCGATTCAACGATTGCTGAAAAGGAGCTTTGTAGCAGGTCCGGAATGCTTCCGTGAAGCTTAGCTGTGAATCCCCTCTTGCAGGCTGGCCGTCACGTTCCCCTTCGAGGCTAGGTCCGGCTTAAGCCGATTGCACATGATCCGGAAAGCCTGTGGTGACGCCGACACCCTAGAAGCCGTGCAACATTTAGAAAGAAAAGCCCGGTCACCCAAGAGTCGGCTAGCGGCTAGACTCAAAGAGGGTCAAAGCCAATGCTGGCTTTGTTTTCCACGGACAGACTCCATTACGTCAACACAGTGACCCAGAAACGAAACGGTCATCTGAGCAAAGACATCGCAGCGGTATGAAACTTTCGAGCCATTCCGTACTTGTAGGAATATATACCGACACCATGTACGTTCCGCAGTAACCTTGGAGTTGGACCTCCGGTGAAGCCAAGTCTCAGCAGCATTTCTGCTCGTTTCGCGACCATCATCGCCGAGACCTGACTGAAGCTTACAGAAACTCAGGACACTGAAAGGAAGAAGCTTGGCTTGGCTCCGCGCTCTCCTAAAGCACATGACCCACAAGGCGGGTCATACCCGAGCCCGCTGGCACTGGACATCTGTGGTGACAAGCTGAGTCAGGTGCTCCACCTAGCATCATCGCCTCGGTGAACTTGGCAACGGCCGTTTTCACATCGCCATCTTCCAGCGCCTGAGCAGAAAAGCACTGGGGAGTGGAGCGATATGAAGCGGTGACCGAAGCCCTCCAAGCTAGTGACTCACGAAATGCGCCGGGGAGCGTCCGCGGCCTGGCTTTTCAACTCGCCCTGCTTGTCGGCCTCGGCATCGCCCAGCTCCTGCAAACTGCAGACAGGCACAGGATGTCACAGGTCCTTGAGCCAGGCCCGCAACTCGACATACAGCGTGCTTCAGTTCAGTGGCAACCAGCTCTCGGAACTCTTGCATGCAACGTCACACTCCATGAATGTCCCGACACGCAGCCGACAGAAGCTCCTTTGTGATGAGGTCCTCAGCTGCCGATAGCACACTCGCTTCCGCTTCCCTCCGATACTGTTCGATTGCACATTTGCAGCAGAGGATCGGCAGCCGGCTGCTCTGGCAGTGGCTCCTCCTCGACCTCCATCGCAACCTCCTCCTGGGACACCCTAAACCACAAGGGACGAAAAGCAGGGCTGTCAAGTGTGCGGGTGCCACGAAGATGCCTGATGACTCCAACCCCTTTCGTTTTACATCCGACAAGGTTATGCCACTCTGTGCGATATTTTGGGGCCTTTGTTTTCACACGACTTTCGCCAAGCTGCATCATCTGACAGCACCACTGGCGGTGCCTGGAGATGCGGGTATGGGAAGACCAAAACTCACAGCAATGCGCTGTAACTCCATGTCCAGCCTCCGGCTCGGGAGGCACTGCGACTACGAGCTCCATGGTCCTTGAATCCACGCTTCTCATAACGAAGGCTCCAGTCTCCAGTCGCAGCCCCCATATTTCTCCTATTTCAAGCGTTGCACAGATCGGAAGTGGCAGAACTGCGTTGCCGAGCATCTTTCCACTTGCCATGCCTTCGATATCCTGGAGTTTCGTGACCTCGTCCAATGGCTCGCTGCCGTTGAACGACACGGCCTGAAATTTCCTGGACATTCTCAGTAACCAGAACGTGCATCAATGGCAGCTTAATCACTGAAGAAGCCTGCATGCCAGACGTTCGACAAGAGCCAGTGCTGCTCCACAACACAAATTCTGGCAGGACTCGGGTGCGCCATCACGATCAAGGCAATTCGCTGTTTCAGCATGTTGACCGTCCTTATGCACATGCACCATGGCACTCTTGAACTTTGACTTGGCACCGCTACATCCGCAGAGCAGGTCTTTTGTGTGCACGTCGAAGCTCCCCACAGACCAAGGCTCATGCAGGTTCTTAGATTGAAGAAGCCTTTCAAGGATTCCGTCTACTGCGAGATTGGCCGCCTGAGTGAAACGTGAGTGCGGCGGTCCTTTCATGGACACCAGCACGGGCTCATGTCCGTCTCCAACTTGGCACGCTGCTTGGCATTGTATGAGACGGTTGGCTTTGACAGAGCCTCGGCAATGGCATCCGGGAGGTGGCTCGACCTGGGGTTGGACATGATCCGCCCGGCGTCCTCCCTGTCGTCTTCCGTGAAACTCCGCCAACTTGGAAGCAACTGCTTCGTGACCAAAGCTGGAAAATGACAGTCAACATGAAAGCGCTCTGCCCTGGCTTTCCAGAAGTGCGCGCGGTCCTCGGTAGGCATGCGGTCTTCCTCTTCGCGGCTGGCTGGCTTCTCTTTTCGAAGGGCTCTGCGCTCGCTCTTAGATTTTGTGGGCCAGACATCCGATATCACCGTCATCTCATATCTTCGTACGGGGGCCTTCTGCACACGATCAGATATGGGCATGCGCGATCCTCTCGGCAGTTGAACCGCCAGTCGTGTCTGCGGCTCCCGGTTGAACTGCCAGGTTCTTCCTGTCATTGTTCCAGGGGCAACAGTTCTATGTCTTCATGAGCTGCCGGCTCCTCAACTAAGCCTGCGCTTGAGCCCAGCTAGCTGGTGAGCCGCATATACAAGCAAAGACGCATATTTGCATGCTGTGCCAACAAACCTGACGATGAGCAGAACAAGCGGCTGTAGCCTGCAAAAAGAGCTGAGAACAGCCGGGCGACGCGTGACCCTCAATCTGCAACGTGAGGTCGTCACCGGCCTTCCACTTGGTTCCCTTCTTTCCATGGATGGCCTCGTTGTCCATACCTCATGCCAATCTCAGACTTGCGAAATCAACTCCTGACCGGCCGGAGATCTGGATTTGCTTGTCAAGTGGCTGACAATCTTTACTTTGATCGTCCATTGACTGTCTGTCATGGCGGCTGCACGGGGATCTATGCCAAGTTTCTGGGACAAAATCTGGTGCACAAAGTGCTGCGGCATGGAAGCACAAAGCGACTTCGACAAAGCCTAATTGTTCAATACTCCGTACAGTACCGCTTGCCGAAACCACCTCAACCACCGTCTCAGTTGCTGCGCAGGATGACTCATAGAGTAAGCAGGACGATCTGCTGCAACTGTACGTCGTTGATGGAATGGATGACAACAATGGAACGGCAACACGAGAGCCAGACTGCAGGCTCTGAACGGAGCCCACCTGCAGCAGGACCAAGCTGAACTTCTGCTCCTCGCTCTCGCTGTCTCGCCTCTGCAGGAGCGCAGCAAAAATGTCGCGAGCACTCTTTCGGTCACAAACTTCGAAAGCTGTAGGAGCCTACTCTTGCGAGCGGGTCGGAGTTCGGCCGCACTTTCAAGAAAAGAACTTGCAAGCTCCCGCGTACTGTAACGGCCCCAAATCACAGCGCCGGAGCCGCCTGAGGTGAGCCAGAACTCGCAGGAGCCCCGGAGCCGGGGCGCCGCCAGGGGGGGCATTGGCAGCAAACGACCTGAGAGCGACAGGGGAATTTAGGGGGACGATCCGTCGCCGGGCCCCGTCGCATTCCGTCGCGGGCGTTCATTTGTGATATGTTGTGATTGAATCGCTCCCAAGCGCGAATCGCCAGCGATCCAGGCTGCTCGCTTCTCATTGATTTTGCCGTCCAAGGCCACCTGTAGAGAGCGCCAATGCAAGATGTAGCTTAGCGGCCTAGCGGTTGCCGGGCAATGCAGCACGGCCATGCACGGCCAGGGCCAGCACCCAGCCGTGAACGAGCAGCACCTCAAGCAGAATGGGTATAGGGTGCCGTGGGTGGTCGTCGACAGGGTGACGATCGAGCGGCATATTCACGGACAAGGAGACCCGTCTGCAGCTGGAACTTGAGAGTGTAGAAGCCCTGTCCAGGAACGAGGCGTACGGCATAAGGAGCTGTTGCGACCTTCGTTTTGGCCTCCCAGGTCTTGCCCGCAAGGATCAGGCCAGAGCTCGGGATGTCCAGTCCTTGGGCTCTTTCATCGAAACGTGGAGATCGGCCCAGCCTAAAGCCTGGGCCTAGGCACTGCCTCGGCCCTAAGCCCCTTGCTCTGAACCAACCCGAACTGGTGTTCCTCGTAATGAACCTGGCCGGAGAAGCCTAGAGTCGGGTCTAGGGCGACGCATGGCGACGGTATATGGCTTCAAGACACGTCTGCGGCCCTCAAAGCCTGGCAGCCGCACTATCGGCACGCTGTCGAAGGGAAACCTCTGCATGGATTCGGATGCGAGCAGAGAGCGACAGAGAGCAGAACTGGAAGGGCCCCGGGCCGCTGCATGAGCCAGGAGGACATCCAGGGGCCGCCCCCTGCATCCTCACGGTGAGAAGACCCACGTTGACTTGCGTTTACATCCGATTAACAAGCGCTACTGTACGGGGAAAGATTGGGATGCTCACACTATCGCAAAATCACGAAGGATTGCTGGACAGCTTTACACAACTGAGTCCATCGGTTGATGACGAGCGCTTAGACAGCCCTCGGCCCAAAGCAGTCGCAGTGTTTCTTGGCAGGCGATCCATCAATGGCACAACTCCTCATTGTCAACCTCCCATCCCGCCGGCTTGTGCACGCAGCACATGTCTGGCCTGGCGATTGAAACGTATTGAGTACGACGGCTCCGGACGGAATGCATTACACCAGCTTACATCATTGCGCTGGGCTTGCCTTACACCATTGCTTCGGCACATCAACGCCCATAGCATTCAGGGAGGGTGGGCACATATGGCATGATCCGACATGCGTTCCTCAGCAGGACTTCCACCTACATTGTTAAGTCTCTCTGTCGGCCGTTAATATTGGGCATGGGTGTTGCACCCTTGCGGTCAAATCAACGTTTGCACCAACAGCTGGGGCAACTAAGTTGGACAACAGGTTGTTGCACTCGTTCACTGAACTGCAAGCCCGGCAAGCGCCAAAAAGAATCCAGTTGGAGACCCGTCTTGTGTCACACTGAGAAGAACAAACTGCTGTTGTTTTTCTGTCTGCTGTGCCCGAAGACCATCGTGTGTGTTTGCAGACCATCGTGTGTGTGCGCACGCCAGTGCACGCCCTCCCGTTGCAACAGGTCATACAGGTCTTTGCCGCCGAGCCCCTTCCTCTCTTTCTTTCTTTTTCTTTCTTTTTTTCTGCTGGGGTTAGGTCTGCGAACAGACCCCGGCCCGGACCCCCGCCTCCCTACCTTGTCGGTGGAAGGAGGCCTTGGAGTCTATCGTGGGCGGTTTTCCCCCGCGGATTTTGCAACATCTGGAGTGCGTTCGGTCTTGACCCCCCTTGACCCTGAACACCAGCCTGCTTCCGGGCCTCATCGCCGCGCCCTCTAAGGCTACGTCCTTAGCCCCTCGCTGAACGCTACCCCCATGCTCTTTACGTGTACGGTAGCCGCCCTGTTTGGTATAACGAAGCAACAGCTGAGTGCCGAGCAGTGCTGAATCACAAAACAAGTACGAGTGCGCACTCTCTCTCGGACAAGCCTTGGCGAGACTTTGGCGAGGATTCCAAGTCCCAGCACGCGCTAGGTTTTTGTGCATAGGGGCTGCCTTGGGTTCTTCCCCCTTTCCAGAAGCAACACTCAACACAAACACTGCAGTAACGACTTCGGGTGGGAATCCCCTGACTTTGATTAGCGCACCCCCGCGGTTCATTGGCGAGGTGTCTTCCCCAGGAGAATTTTCCTCCGGAGGCTTGGCTGTAGAAGGAGTTGCAGAAGAAGTGTCCTCTCCCCCGAACAACACAAGGATACGATGTCCTAGCTGGTTTCGTCAGCCGGACACTCCCCCGCTCGAAACGGTGTTAAAAGATGCGTCAGCTTCTGCACGCACATGTTGTTCGCAAGACGAAACTCTCTCTTTGCTTTGCTTTGCTTTGGGGTATGAGCCAAAGGCAGTCCCTGTGGCCCGCTCGTTCGAGCAACCCCATCCCAGTCGCTGTACTTCTCAACAGCTTTGCGTTGTGCCATGGCTTGTGCCCGGATCGCCCGCTCCTGTATTGGGTCACCTCTTGAAAACGAACTTGGAAGTTGCCCTTGGCTCTGCGCACGGAGGGGTTGTCCCGTGTTGGGTGTCCATGGGTGTCCCACTTGGTGACGACTGGTTGGCTTTGCTCTGTCTTGGCGTGTCCTCTTTAGTCTTGTCTGTCTTCCGTTTTCGCTTCGCCTCCTTCTTGTGCTCCTCTTCGCCGGTCCAGTCCATGATGTCCCAGAACGCGTCGTCGGACTCCTTGTGGCCTGTGTCCCTTGCCAGCTTCTGCAGAGGGTGCCCTGCTGGCATCCCATCCTCCCTGGTCCCTTAGGCCTTTTTAGTCACCGGTGGTGCTCGAGCTCGAACTTGCAACTGGCTTCGCTCTCGACTTTGGGTTGGTGTGCTGTGTATCCTTAGGTCTTGTGGCGCGGGTCTGCCGAAGTCTTGGTGTCCTGCTGACCTCTTTGTCGGCCTGGTTCTCGGCTCTGACCTGGTGTCCTGTGCTTCCTTGCGTCTTTTTGCGCGGGTCTCCCGAAGCTTTGTCTCCTCTGCTGCAGTGCTTCGCGTCCTGGTAGAGGACGTTGGGCTCGCCTGTCGTGTTGGGTCGCGTCGTCTGGTGAAGTTCTCTAGGATGCCCTGGATCTTATCGTTCTGGCGGGTCCCCTTCGCTGCCTGTTGTAGCAGCTTTCTTGCTGCTCCGGCTTGGGCCAAGCTGGAGCGCGCAGTCGGGTGCCTTTCGGTCGTGTCCCCAGTGTTTGACCCCCGCTCCTCGGCGTGGTCCCAGGAACAGCGTATGCCATCAACTACAAGCGGCTCCTGGTTGTGCTGCCGTGGTTTTGGGTGTCCTCTTCGATCTCATTCTTGGTGTCCTTGCCCACTGTCACGTTCACTCCCGCTCCTGCCCAGCCTTGGTGCATTCCATCAAGATGCCCTGGAGGGCTGGACGGTCAGCGACTTCCCCTGCATCTCGGGCAACTGGGTGCTCGATGTACCCGGGTTCGGCGGGATCACCTCGGGTTCCTCCACAACGTGGCATGTTGCCCCCTCCTACTGCCGGGCCGCCCTTCGTGCCGTCACCACGATCCCCCCGCCTCACCGGGGTGACGAACACAAAGGGGGCGCGGTACCTGAAAGGGCCCTCGTGAGCCTGAACACTTCGGCGAGTGGCGGGTGATAGCCGGGTTCCCACAAGGGTGAGAGACTTGAGCACGGAACTCTCTCTTGCTTGCTTGCTACTGGGCTTGGCAGCTCCTTCGTACGCGAGTGCACCCCTGTCACTTGGCAGGGAAGGGCCTCCCCCGGTAGTTTTCTCCGGGAGGCTTATACAGACAGTTCTGCATCCCCCGCCTGAGCATTCAACAGACACCGAAGAACACACTTCTGCATCCGAAGAAAGACTCCCCACTCAGGGCAAGGTTGCAGTTGGAGAAGAGGGCGATACAGCATGTTCACATGTTGTGGATGCACCAGTTTTGACACTTACACAGGTTCATGGTGCCACTCGAAAGAAACGGGAAGCCCTGCATCACCGAAGGTAAAAAAACTGCAAAGGATCTTCACGACTAGAAACACAACTGAAGGCAGGCGAAACTCCCCCTGTACTGTGCCCTGTGGCTATGCTATACAGCGTCGGCATCAGTCAGTCCCCCGGGTGGCGTCGCTTGATCGGTGGCCGGTCCGGTCTGGCTCCGGCTGATTTGCACTCTGGAAACATCACGATCAGCTTCTGTGGCGACACGCAGAACACATGCACTGAGTCCGCCCCCGGCACGATGCTGTCCTCCTTCTCGGTCTCGTGCTCGAGGGCCGTCCCCCGTTAGAGGCGGCTGGGTTGCTCTAGCAGCTGGGAGGCAAACCATCATGTCGCGTACGAAGAAAGTCGTGCGACTCTGAGGGCTCCCTCTCGGGATCGCTTCCCCCTTTGCGGCTCCTGCCTGTAGAGCACTGTGGTCCAAAACGGCGCCTCCCTCTTCTGGCAAGACCTCTACAAACTCTTCCCCAGGTTCTTGGTGGCGTAGTTCTTGAAAGACTTTCGCCACGAGGTCCTCCCCTTCACCAACATCAGGCGGGGTAGAAGTACTCTGGTGTAACTGCGTCAAAGACCAGGTCCCAGGCACGGTCAGAAGGCCAAGTCTCTTGAGGTCCTGGCGCTTCCTTCCCCACAGCATGTGGAAGCTCTTGCTGTAAGTGGGGCGGCAAGGGTGGAGTGACCGGTGCGGCCGTGCTGTTGGTAAGGTAGCCACACTCACTTTCTGTGCTTAGAAGTGATTCCCCCTCCATCTGTCTCATCTGGCGCTCCCCCTCTTTCTGCATCTTCTGCAGACCAGTCTGGCTCTTCCTTGACGCTTGGTACAGGCTCTTCAGCTGTGGCTTGGGTGGCTGTCTCCCCCGTGGTGGCTGCACCGTTAAGTCGCACGGGCTTCAAGCCCCCCCGACCATTTCGATCGGGCTTACGGGGAGTGAGAAACGAAGGTAATTCGCCGTATGAGCTAAATTCCCTCTCTCTCTCCCTCTGACTTTCTCTCCCGAAAGCCTTCTCCCCTGGCGCCCGCCTGCGCTGTCCGGGCCCGTGTATCTATCGCCCTATGTTTCTCTCACGAAGGTCTACAGGGCGTGAGGAAGCAGCAGCGTCCCGGCTGCCCCCTCGTGCCCGAGCGCACCCCTGCGGATCATTGGCCCCTTTTTTTGGGCGATTTTCACCAGGAAGCTCAACTGTAAGAGCAGAAAAGGAACAGTTTCCCGGGCAGGGGTGTTCGACTCAGCGAAAACACACAAGCAAGCAACTACAATATCAACCGTCTCTCTGTCTTCCTTCCTTCATTCGGGGCAGAGTCCGCATTACCTGACCCGCGCCGAGGTTCCCCCTTCCCTGTTTAGCTTGTGGGGAGGAGGCTTTTCTCTCCCTCCCTCTCTCTCTGTCGCTTGCTTGCTTGCTTTCTTGCTCTGTCGCTTGATGTCTCAAAAGACCCTTGGCCCGAAGGCCTACCCCCACAACGGTCCGCGCACAGTCCGCCGGAGAAGGCCCCTGGTCGCTCTCTCTCTGTCTCTCCCTCCGTCCCTGTCTCTCTCATGCATCTGATGCCGTGCACCGTGTCCGAGGTAACACATGTGATCACACAGAAATCTGTCAGTAAGCTTCGTATGCTTCGTACGTGCACACCAGAAGCCTCAACTCCTCCTACCCACATGAAACTCAGCACGTGGGGCTCGGGTCCCAGCAAATCTAGGCGCAGCAGCGGGTCTTCACCAGGGTGGTCCTCGCTACGTGGACGCATCCCTAAGTGAAGCCGCAGTCATGCAAAATGAACTAAGCAGGCTCCTCGCCGCAGGAAAAACATTTCGGCTACATACACCCCCTCTACAACTGAACACGACTGAAAGCAGATAAAAACCCGCGACTGAGCAAGCAACACACAAAGTGCCGCCGCACTACCCCTCATATTCGTCCGAAGTTGCGGCCGCGAAACGGACATCTCAATATGCCCCAAATCTTTACTGCTTGAATACAAAACAATGCAGAGGTGCTCAAACATAAGGGATTGTATGTGACAGCTGCACTGGTGCATAAGCAACGTACTACGAAGTTACTACGACGAAACAGAGCGAACGCGTGGGCTCAGGAGACATCAAAGGGATGCAATGCACAGGTCAGCCTCAGCCCTGGAGCCCCCTACCCTGCACGCGTGGGCGGAGCCAGAAACAGGCGAGGACTCAAACCGGTGCGCCTCCGGCCCAACGCTCTCGATCTTCGCGGGCGGGGGCCGATGCGGACCAACCCTGGCAAATCTTGGATTCATCCCAAGGCAGGGTCGCAAGCTGCGGGGCCTGGGTCTTTAAAACTGGACGTAAAGCACGCAGTCACACTGGGTTTCTGGCATTTCTATGTCCTTTGCGCGGCCGAGGTGCTGCCTCGGAGATCTGTGTAAGGATCATGCCGAGTCCAATGTTATGTTAAATTTCACTATGTCGAAATGTACTGTTGGACGAAATTACTGCACCATACCATATCACACTGTGTTATGATGTACTATACAAGACTATATGACAGCATACTGTATCGGGGTAATCCTGCATATGCTGGTATATGCCTGTTTACATTATGCTACATGTAATGCTCAATTAGGTGTGTATGTATATATATATATATATATACATATGTAGATATGGACACACATTTTTGCTGTGCCAGTCTGTATTGACTCATGCTTCATCATGCTATACCTGGTCTCGGGTGTTTGATACTTGGCATGTTGTATCCTATCTCAACTTATCAAACAAAAACATGATACCAAGGCATACTGTACTGTTGTGCTTGATGCTGTATTATATTTTACCTTCATCATGGAGCGTACTATGTGTCGATTAAACTCCATATTGATATCTGTGTACAGTTTTCCATTTACAACCGATATGATACAAAATAGGTGGCTTAAACATCTTTGTATATCAAACTATGTGTGCAGTGAAACATGGTTCATGGCCTTTTCTATGTCATACCATATACTGTACTATGCATCATACGCAGCAATATCATGATGAAAGAGTATATATATGTATACATACATGCTTAAACTGTGCATTGTGGCATAAATCACATTCTTTCGTCTATAACATATCATACCGCACTTTTATCACGAATTGACGCATGCCTCATACTAAGCGTTAAACTATACGTGTGATTAGATGCTGAACTGTAAGCCATTCGGTACTGTCTTACAATATGGTAAAAAATGTATGCAACATGTCAAAATTATATGCTGCATTGTGTTTTAGATTACTTCTTGATATTTCTTGTGCATATGAAGTCTGGTATATTATGTCTTATCTTATTAGCACAATATAAATATATCAAACTCTTATAAGATCATGGTGTGATATCTACAAGTACATGTTTCACTATAGTATGACATATGACATATTCTATATACTACACCATATTAAGTTACATTCTGCATCAAAAGGTAGGTTGCAGCATACAGTACGCTGTATTTTACTTTATACTTTCTACTGTATTACCTTCAAACACATTTGAATCTCTATGTGGTTCCATGTTGTTCTTTTTAGGTGGTTCTAGAAATGTGTACACATACGTATATATATATATATATACATACATACATACATACATATACGGGTAAACAATATCTTGTACCTAAAGTTAAGATATGTTACAGATATTGCACAGTATGACCTTTCAGTGTTTGAAGTACCGTTCACTGTTTTATATGCAAGTAGCTAACTCTAGCACATCAAAGTATTTTCTACTGAAGATAAATTACACTGAGTATTTTATTCCGTTTTGCACTGTACATGGTAAACAACATCACACATGGAAAAAAACATGTTGATTACAATGCATAAGGTTCTAGTCTATCTCAATCCAATCTTCTCAGTCCTTTTGAATTGGATGTCCACCTATGCATTGGACAGATGAGACGGTTGTGTTGACTATATGTGTAACAGATTCGACACTAGAGTAAATATACTTCTGTCTTAACAGATGCTTACATTATGTACGACATGATGTATCCTGCTATATGAAGTGGAATTAAAACCGAATCAAAAACCCAGCCACCACGCAAACCGAAGCCAGCCGAAACTTCTGATACCTGGGTGAAGCACGGTCAAGTGGCGAAGGAACTCTACAGCATCAAGATTGATGCGGCCATCAACACACCGTCAGATGAGCCACCACCACCCGAAGCCACCACGAACCGTTCTTCCAGCCCGCAGGAGACAAGGCAAGACATACTTTCGGGTGATATTGAGAACTGAATAATTGCAGTTTACTGTACTTTGATTTTCTTCTTCTGTATTTTACATTACTTTACATGAAACTAAGAAGTACATCTGGTTAATTGCAATGCAGTGTGTTCTAACGTACTAGCCTATGCTATTTATGTCAGTGTGTTACTTCACGATTTCAACTCACTGCACCATATTCTTCGCACTTACACGAAGACAGTTCCACACAGGGTCTGAAGACGAAACTAGCGCAACTATTGACCCAGGACATGAAGTGGATTTCTCATCGTCCTGAAGTGGACCCTGTCATACATTGTATGTCATGGCATATTGCGGCACAATGTATTGCAATGTGATATGTAATGCAGTTTGCTATATCGTGCTGTAATGCGCCTTCTTTCAGTATGCTATACTACATCCGACCAGTTCTGGTGGTGCAATACAGTCTTCCTATTGTCTTGCCTGGCCTTGTATGATCGTGTTTTGAGCTTGGCTGTGCCAAAGATTAGGATACAATGCACTGCTCCATTATATCTCATGCCCGTGTCTCTATCATAAAGTAAGTATATCTAATCTATGTCGTCGCGTTGTTTGTGCAAAGCCTGTCGCAAGACATGAAACTGTACCGTCCAAAATCGTACCATTGTTTGGTCTGTATCATATTGTGCTATTTTGTCTTATCTCTCGACTTTACCATTTTGTCATATTATACTGTATGGTATAATTGCACATCAAACGAACTATTATGCTATGTTAAAACTTGTGGATTTTATTTATGTCTGGTATAATTATGTAATGCTATTATGCCGCTACCGCGAATTCTGCTTATACCGGAGAGACTATCTGACTAGGAATACCGACACCTTCTTAAACTGTTGCACTCATCATGGCTATACTACTATTGTGCTAATAATTGTAATTATGTCACTGTTCTACAGTACTCTGTCGTATGCAGCTGCCTTAAAATACATCATACCCTATGACTGCTACTACTACTCCCACTACCAGGACGACCACTACCACAACCACCACCACCACCACCACCACCACCACCACGACTACAAACTACCGCTGCTGCTCCTACTACTACTACTACTACTGCTAAGCTACTGCTACTGCTACTGCTACCACCACTACGTCCACCACCAACCACGACTGCTGCTGCCGCAGCAGCAGCTGCTGCTGCTGCTTCTACGACGACGACGACGACTACTACTACGACTACGACTAGGACTACTGGTACTGGTACTGGTACTGGTACTGGTACTAGTACCAGTACCAGTACCAGTACTAGTACTAGTACTAGCACTACTACTACTACTACTACTACTACTACTACTACTACTACTACTACTACTACTACTACGACTATGGCTACGACCACTGCCACTACCAACGGCGACGACGACGACGACTACTACGACTACGACTTACCTGTACGACTAGGACGACGACTACTACTAGGCAGTACACGTATCCCTGTTCTTACCCAAAGTACGACACTCAAGACAGACGGAACAAGCAACCACAAACAAGACGGCACGTCCAAGACAACTTTCATTGAGCATGCTACCGCGGAAGAGCATCAGAAGATTCGAAGCCCTGATGCGTAAGACTCTGGCATTAAGTCCAGCAGTGTTGATGCGAAGGTATCTGAATGCTGTGGGCAGTCCAGTCCGACTACCCAGCCGTCAGGCACTTCTTGCGGAGAGCCCCGTTCACACTTAAAGCATCCGAAAAAATCACCCACCCTCCCGAGGCCAATCCTTAGGCCACAGCTTTTTGTAATGTCTCTCCATACTCCGTCAACCCGACTCTTTAGCTGACATCCGTTAAGCTCACACAAGGCTACTGACAACTTCAGCAGTGCAGGAGGATCCGCCTGACTCTGAGAGATTTGAATGTTAGACGTGCAGGTCGGAAAGCATGCAGCAATGGCACCTGTCAGAAAGCTGACCCGCTCCATGGCCTCAGCTGGCATTCGCGCTTCTTAGAAGAAGATCATCTACAATTGCGCAAAGAATGGTAACCACATTAACATCATTCCAACGGTGCTTTTGCACACAGAGCAGTAGCCAGTCTTGAATATTCGCTTGATTTCCCTTGCTGAAAAGACATGCATGGGTGTCAATGTGTGTCGTGTTGTGTCGCAGCTTTGCTTCTCTGCGAAGACGGAAAACCAAGACAGGCATCTCTTGCATCAGAAACCATTCCAGCACTGCTTTTTTATGCTGTGAGACTAAATTGGCTTCAAAACTTTCCGCTCAGAAAACTAAACAGAGAGACAAAACTCAAAGTCACTGTGGCCGAAAAAGAATGAAGCTCAATTGTAGCTACGAGCTCGAAGGAGCCTCAGAATTTGCAACAGTTCCACGGCTTACGCCAAAGGCGGTCGGTGGTCAGAGGCGTACTTAATCGAAGCTGCGAAGCTGCGAGACTCTGACGCAGTTGTCAGGGCCCGCGCTTGCATCCTACTACGAAACTGCCGCCCCTCCCGTGCCAGACCCGGGCAAGAAACCACCTCTTTTTTTTGCACAGACTTGTACATGCCCGCTTTTTGCAACAGGCTTGCGCCTTCGCCCGGACAACCCCAATCCCTCGACTCGAAGGAAAAGAGACATCCGCAAACCCTACACCCTACACCCTGACACAGGTGTCACTACTGACATGCTTGCATCAGGCTCGCGCTACAGCGGCTTCACTCCCTTTTGCCAGATTTGCCAGCCACCCCTAGCCACCAGCCGAAGCTATGAAAAATCCTTCAACAGAAGTGCAAACCATGAGCTTCAGCACACAGCACGGATCTCTTCTTCAACATAGAATAGAAGCGAAATCCCTCACCCCCTGCACTTGTACTATCACTAGCCCTAGAGCCCTAAATGTCCACAGTTCTCTCTTCCTTCCTTCTGCTGGAGAGTCCGCACACGGACCGGGCCCAGACCCCCCCATTCCCCCTTTTTCGGTGGAATAGGGCTCTGGGGTCAGAGGACGGGTTTGCCTACGAAGATTGGTTTTGGCTGGTAAAGTCAGTCCGTCGCATATCCCCCAACCCTCAACACTAGCCCGCGTCCCGGCCTCGTCTCCGCGCCAACTACGGCTATATCCTTAGACCCTCGACGGACATGACTATTCCCCTTTTGCAACACGTGGCAATTCCGCTAAGTTCAGGGCCTGTTAGTTGGGGACTGCCGCCCGAAGCTGGACCATGAGGAAGCAACACAGTAGCATTGATACATGCATTTCACAGTTCAATCGGTCCCCCCATGTTCACAAGCTGTAGACAGTAGCTCTTTAGTGTTTGCTGCGAAGGGTGAGACCTCAAGGAGGCAACACCCCAACCTTGACACATAGGCATCACGGTCTGTGCTCGTCCGCTGCTGCTTTGCTCCCCGCGGCTGGTGCTGTCGCTTCGTTGTCTGGCCACCCCCAGCTTTGTTCTTGCAGTTCTCTCTCTCTCTCTCTCTCTCTCTCGCTCGCTCGCTCGCTGCCGGGGTTGAGTCTGCTCTCTCTCTCTCTCTCTCTCTCTCTCTCTATCTCTCTCGCTCTCTCTAGCCGTAATCTGAAATCACATGTTAACACACTGAACAGGTGCAAACTGCAGCAGCCACTCGTGGCTCATCAAGCTGACACTGACAGGTTGCCCAGGTCAAGCCGTTCAGGTCCGTGGCCAGATCCTGCAGGGAAACCGTGATATTTGGGAGTCGCAGAAAACTGGGGGGGAATCCGTATTGTGTTGTCCTGAATGATGGACGCCACAATTCAAGAACCGCCCACACTTTGCACTCTTCCGCATGGTCCCCGGCGCACGACTGCGCGTGCTGTTTTGCGAGCTTCATCTTACTCAGAGACAGCCTCGTGACGAGTATTTGCGATATTCCGACGCCGGAGACACGTGCAAGCAATCCAGAAAACCTGCTGGGTAACACGGAGCAGAACTCCCAGCATCCTAAAAACACAACCAGGTGCTTCGCATCAACGGCACAATGCCGTCGCCCGAAATCCAGAAGGCCAGAAGATCCAATTTTAAAGCTTAACGCCCAGCGCAACCCGAAATCAGCCACCCCAGCCCAGGCAAGCCTCGATTTTCGCGGATCTCTCTGAGCGGCACCTGGCATGCCCAAGGCAGCGATGCCCAGAAGTGCAAGTTGAAGCATCGCTGTGCGACTGTAGCTGTATATCTCGCAGAGGCCCTTGCTGCCGAATTTTTTGCAGCACCGCTTCAGCAAGGTCGAACATGACCGGCTCGTCCTGTCGGGAAGGTGACGTCTCGCTCCCAGATGTACCCAGATCCACACTGCGAACCGCTGAGGATTCGAGGACCAACACACGAACACACGCACTTCTGCAACATCTTGAGCGTGCTGCCTGCGTTGACAGGACAGCAAAGGCCCAAATGGCGTTGGACAGGCCCTTGACTTCGAACTCCACCACCTGTCTGTTTCGGCGGTGTTTTATGCATGCAACTCGGACTCTGCATCTGCAGACCACTTCGGTGTGCTCAGGCCCGCACCCGATCATGCACAGCACGAGACCTTTAAGAAGTCAGGTCTCTGAAAAAGCGCCTGCTACGCACACCATCTGGAATAACCGCAAGGGCCATTAGACAAGGGCGTGGTGGCGAGCAGCTCCGCGCTCTCCAGATGCAACCTTCAGATGCTGAAGACGCTGCCGAAGCGGCTTTGGGCGCTTCTGACCGGCCTTGCAAAGGACCAGGAGATGCTTGCCAGATCCCGGCCTGAGCTCAGAATGACTGCAATTTGAGGTTTTTGAATCGTGCAGACACCAGGAAGTTGAGGAGATGCGAATGGTGAGAGGGGCGAATCTCGAGGCAGGCCCTGCAAGGTCCGAGCAAGAGCACAGGTTGATCTTCTGGAAGATCTGGGAGCGCAGGAACTTCGACCGGAGCTTCCAAGCTTAGAAACCTTTGCTCCCACTGCTACAATCGGATCTTGGGCGGACATGGGCAAAGTAGTACAACAACGTACAAGACATCCCGCCGGAGGCACCGCGAAAGTTGTGATAGCTGTTCATAACTCAGTTTAGGCTTTGGCTGTAGGCACTGTGCACTTGCCAGCTGCATCCTGCGCACACCTGGTCTTACCCTCAGCTTTCGCCCTTCAGACTCGCAGGAGTGCCTTCCCCGCGAGAATGTGCATGAGCTCTGCATCTTCAATGCGCAGCGCCGCAAAGGCCCAGGCCCTCGGTGTTGGGAGAGAAGAACCCCCGCCAAGAGGTCATCCCCAACCTGCCTGGGCTCCTGGCGTGTTCGACAAGTTTTGAGGCTCAAACACCTCAATCTTGCTTCGAACCTCAGGCCACGGTTGCCAGGCACTGCTTATTGGCTCAACTCGCGGACAGCATTTCGTCCCCGCCACTTGCGAGCTGGTTGCAAGCAGAGCGCAGAGTCAAAGGCTCCCTTTTTCAGCCTTCAACCTTCTTCGTTTCTTCTTTTTCCAGCATGCCGGGGCCGGGGCACAACCGTCCCACGAGGAGCTGCACAGAGCCGCCTAAATCCCATCCTCCCCAACACCGGTCACCGATGATTGCCTCAGCACCTCAGCGGCGGCGTTTCCGGCGCCGGGAGTCGGAGGACGGCGAGCGCCTTCGCAGAAGCTTTCGCGCTTTAGATTAGGGATGGCGTGGCACATGTCTGTGCCAAACCACCTGTACAGCCATCAAAAAAGCAAAGCTCCATCATCGTGCCCGCCGTTCCGGGCATTCTAGTGAAAGCTGTGGAAATGCTCGGGGGAGCTGTCCTGGACCTGCGCGCCCGTCGGGATCGTGAGCGGCGCAGCGCGGGGGTGGCATGACCGAGCTGCACCTGCGAGCAACACGGTTTTGCAGTGCGGTGTGACGTTCGAAGTATGTTCCTGTCTGCCAGGCCCCCACTCTGCACTTGCCTGCGAGAAGCTGCGTGCGAAGGCGTCGAAGTACTGAGCCGGCATGAAGAAAGCGGGGATTCGAAGGCAAGGTCGCACCCATGCCTTATTGCCTTACGCCTTGTACTCCTTTGAGTATCGCGAGTCTGTCCCGATCCCACCCCTGCAAACTCCTGGGCCATGAGAACTTGCATGACCTCAGGAGGTTTCCATGACCAGCCGCAACGCACAGCTAGATTAAAACAACTCGACTCTCACAGCCTGAGCGACATGTCTCAACATGCCGCTGCTCAGCTTACAGGATGACTCTTCATGTCTGCAACGTGCTCCCACTGGCGTCACGAAACTCTCAGACGAGAGGCACGTGTGTGGTGGGCGCTGTGCGACGGTCCGGTCGAGCGATGAGCCAAGGCATTGCAGAACCTTCCATGGCAAGACACAGTTAGGCATATCAGCTGTCGGACGCATCAGCAGCTGCATGATCAAAACCTGCAGTGCCCAGGCAAAACCGCACACTTCCTCAATTCTGCGCGGTAGCTCGCCGAACCAGAATGCACTTTCGACCTTATTTTGCAAGGGGAGAATGTGGCAGATGTTAGTTTCTGAAAACGCTGTGTTGAAACACTTTACCAGCAGACGCTGCCGGAAACAACGGTACCGTACGTGGTGGAAAGTCTTATGTTCGACTCCCGTGCGACTGTGGCCAGAAGTTGTCAACTGAAAACCACTCTTTGTCACTGTCCATCCCACCGGGAAATTGCTGAAAACACTGGACTCCTTCCTTGTTGTTTCAAATCTGGATGTTAACAAAAAACTGTGAACTTACTCGGAGTCTTCTTCGCCAGTATGCAGTTCAAACGTGACGAGCTTGTTGGCTCTTTCGGTGAGCGGCAAACGCCCTCTCCAATGCACAGCGCTTGCCGTTTGCAGAATTACGGCTTTGCATTATCATCGAACATGCCAGAACACTCCATTCCCACTCAACTGGCCAATGCTGCTGCAAAGCGAACAGCGAACTAGGCCCGCACATGCCGTCACCTACAGGATGGAATGTTGGGAGAGCTGTGCACATCGTGAAGGCATCCCACATGCAGCTGTGCGGCCGGTGGCCGCAGCCCCGCAGAGAAAAGCAGCGGCCAGGACCGCTGCGCAGTGTGAGAGCACTCGGAACCTGGACAGTTACGCAGATCAGACGGAAGACTCGGCAGCCTGTCTTCTGCAGAGCATGATAGAGCATGCTAAGGGACCTTTCTCTCCATGGCCGATGTTGTCACCCTGCACAATGGCCACACAGTGGGTGTCAAGGTCGAAAACATGAGCCAGATTCCTTAGTGAGCTGTGCTGACCGAGCATGGCTGGGCACACCTTTCCAAGAGATGCAGAGTGGCACAAGAACGCCAGCCAGTTGTTCCAACTCGCGTGGAGAAGCTTCCTTGGGGCGACAGACCGCGTGCTTTCTCTCCCTTTCTGCCTGCAGCTCTCTAACCCACCTTCCACTTGCAGTTCGGTACTGCGCCGCAGGCAAGGGGCGTAGCGGCCCTCGGCGCTGAGCGCAGCGAAGCGTGCGCTTGGCGGCTCGGACTCAAAGATGGCGACGGAGCAGCGCCTGGTGGGGCCGTGGCCGCGTGCCGGGCCCCTCTACGATGCTGCCTATGGTTTTTTTTATCTTTTATGGCACCGCCGCCCGCCTCCCAGATGCAGCGCAGAGTGCCCGAACCTCAATTCTCGCCCACTAAGCAGACAAGAACGACCTACAGAGAAAGCTTGCAAGTTCGCACGATCTATAGCAAGATGAATCTCAACAGCCCCTCCCGCACTCTCCTTCCGAAATCTGCAAATGCGACGACAATCCATCATGGCTTCTACAATCCCGAGCCGCAAGTTGCTGTACGCTCTCTCGGATGCCTCGCCAGCTCGTCGGAGACGCCGGCCAGGCAGTGCAGCACAGCGCACAGAGCGGGCAGGCAGCGGCGGAGAGACGAGTGCATCCTGAGCTTGAAACCGATTGCGGCCTCGGGTCTACGGAAAGGATGTGCACAGGCTTGCCAAGGTAACTGTTTTGGTTTCAGCGGGCCCCCCAAGCCTCGAGGACATATCACAACACACAAGACTTTAAGGTACAGCAGCGGACATGCACATCATGCAGCACGTATGGCCGCACCGGGTACGAGTACGTGTCATGGCGCACATGTTAATGTCTGTCTGCATTTTAATGCATTAGCTCCGATGGCATCAACTGTGATGACAGCGATGACGAAGGCAAGCCAACGTGCTCTTGCTTACATATGTTTCACAGGCAAAGTACGTCTTGCCCCTCATCATCCGATGCAGTGCGCTGCGCAGATCCGAGGCGGCGCATCAGCGACACTGCCTCGCCAAGGGGTCACTTGAATCGTTGCTGGCCTCGCCAGAACTTGCATGCACTGCTAGCAGCATTCACGAAACAAGCAGATAAAGTCCCTGAAGGTGATAGCAGACAGCAGGCACAGAGTAGCTACAACCCTGCCAACCTCAGCAGCTGCAGCGACAGCATCGCCCTCCGATGCCTGTGTCCAGGCTCACGACCCGCATGTAAATCCTGAGGCTTAAGATATCTTATCGGAACGACTCTTATACTTATAGGCTTCACGTATCCTCATATTATGCCTCTTTTTGTCACTCGCACTCGCCAGGGCAGGCGAGGTTTCTGGAGTTTCGGGAGCTACTGAACTTTCCCGGCGCATTATAATATGCCGCTTCCTGCCTCCGGCGCCGAAACGGCCGCCCCAAGCGCTTGGAGGAGCTCCTCTCACAGCTCTTGTTCTAGCAAATCTGTGTCCAGCGCAGGACTGCACGGAGGAAACCCCACCAGGAGTCCATCACAAAGTTTGCAGCCCAAGCTCCTCTGGCAAGCCGAGCCTCACTGAGTGCTGGGGTCAAAAAAGAGCTGCTGCAACTCGCACAAGACTGGTTTCAACTGTTTCTACCTCGTGCATGTGAGGGCAACTCGTGCCTTCCAGCTTGAACATGAAGTCTCAGTGGCTCGTTGACCGAAGCACCAGGGCGAAGATCCACTTCGCGGCCCATGCCGAAGCCACCTCCTGCCCTTGCGTCCACATGCACCGACAATCAGGATGGAGACTTGAGCGATGCATCGAAGACATACAAAGCTTTGGAGAAGACAGCAGTTTGCGGCCTTTCTGGTTGACCCGACGGTACTGCCCTAGATTCCTCTGAAAGCTATTCTCAGATCTGCACTGTACAGTATTGTACTTGCTCCATGCTTCTGCTGCGACACGACAACACCAGTGGCGAATATTGATTCCTTGCAGTTGGACACTATGCTCCCCTATGCAGCACGATGGCGGGCCGACATGCAAGATAGGGCTGAGGCCATCGCAAAATCATGCGGTAAATTACTGGCTAAAACATGAGAAACTTCGACTCGCCCGCCGTGCTTTTTGAGCGACTCTTCAATCGGGAGCATGGCGCGTCACCGAAGAGTGCACAAGTATCACGACAGATTTAGGATCCAGGTGTTATTGCATGGGCCTGAAGCATTCAGGATGTATGTGCTGAGGTCTACAAGCCTCCCCGTGCCAACTGCCACGAGACGCAGGCTCGCCTGAGTGTAGTGCTCCGCTTGCGATAGTTGATGCGTCGCATAATTCCTTCTCTCAACGCGGTGCCGTCCACAACCTGACAGCAGCGGCGTTGGCCCATGAAAGTCTTATCTGCATCGTTCCCACAGCTCCCCACCTCACGCACACCCAAGGACTCCACAAAGAGGTTCTTCAACTCCGCCGGATACACCTGCAGGTTAACAAACGGAGCTCCAGAAGACACCTGCGAGCTAATGTGGGCGACTGCTCGTTGCGTTTCCAAGGCACGCCGCTCAAGGCCCACGCAGCAGCAGGCGAGTCTGCCAAGTCGGGTGCTACCTCCCAGAAGCATTCACCTGAGCTCGGGCTGTGAAAAGTCGTGGACTTGCTGCGCTGCACCTCCTTGATGCGTCAGCAACTGAAAGCTTCACATGCAAAATTGTGGGCACCTTACGTTAAAGCCTGCCATGCTACAAACAGAGAGCTTCCGGAACAGTGCTCCATCATGGTACCGCGCCACCTAGCACAGGTATCACCACATCTTACGCCAGCAGTCACCGTCAGTGCAGAAGTGCAAACAGTCGGTCGCGCACCTCCAACATCGAAGAGGTTTGTGGTGGCCCGCCCTCTGGGCATGGTAATGGCATCACCTTGGCCATCTGTCCCGTTCACACGAGATTTGTGCAGCCACCTGCAATGACTCGCATCGATCCTGCAACTGCCATCGTTTTCCCAGTGACTGCCACCACTTCAACATCGGAGAAAGGCTGCAGCGCATGCCGTTCTGTTTCATCCAAGACTGACATGCCTCCGACAAGCTTGGAAGGGAAACACCAAGAGGTTTGCAAC